TGAATTCATCGGGAAGGAGAAACTCCAAGAGCTTTCGCTATGTCTTTCGCGCCAAAGCAGCTGCTAAAATCCCTATGCCTCCGATAAACCCTAACGATCCTTTCCTCTCGACGCTCGCTTCCGTTGCCGCGACATCGCCGGAGAAGCTGCTTAATCGGCCGGTTAACTCTGATACACCGCCGTATCTCGACATCTTTGATTCCCCTCAGCTCATGTCTTCTCCTGCTCAGGTGAACTATTTCTCGTCCAATTCCGATCTCTATATGATGGATTCTAGTGAGATGCTCCAAATTGATTTGATAAGTTTCCGGAATCTACTGGTTGAAATTAGGTTGAAAGATCAGTGGCTTATAACGAGCATAGACCAAGAACTCCACCACCGGACTTACCCTCTATGCTTCTTGACGGGAGAATTGTGTACATTGGAATGCCTGTAAGTTTTTCTGCGGACTCGCATGGATTTTGTGGTAGAGACTTTATGGACTATTGTTGCTGTGCTGACTGATTTTTGTTCTCAGCTGGTGCCGGCGGTGACAGAGCTAGTTGTCGCTGAGCTAATGTATCTTCAGTGGCTTGATCCAAAGGAACCGATCTATATTTACATCAATTCTACAGGGACCACTCGTGATGATGGCGAGACGGTGAGTTTTGAAAGCTTTGTGAATGTTTTGGACCATTTTTCTCGTTGATTCTAACTTCTTTGAACAATGTTCTCTGAAAAGGTTGGAATGGAATCAGAAGGCTTTGCGATCTATGATTCTTTGATGCAACTTAAAAACGAGGTAACGTTTATTGATTAGTAAACTGCTTGTGAAATGCAAACATATAAGTAATACTAATACACCATGATAAAAGAAACTACCCACATTACTTGAATAATTATCGAGATAAGCACTTTCTCTCTCCCAAGTGTGTTTGTGTGAGCAGTTTGTTTCTTATTTGTGCAGGTACATACAGTATGTGTGGGAGCAGCCATAGGTCAGGCCTGTCTATTACTTTCAGCGGGCACCAAGGGTAAACGGTTTATGATGCCGCATGCCAAAGGTAAACTATTCGTGCATTCTGGTCAACTGGCGTGTGCTCACTCTTAAAGAGACTCTCAGATGTTTGATACCATATGTTGCAGCAATGATTCAGCAACCTCGTGTGCCTTCTTCTGGGTTGATGCCTGCCAGTGATGTCCTGATTCGTGCCAAAGAGGTTTGATGTTCCCTACTCTGCATAATCTGTGTGTCCTGGAAATTTAGTTTTGATTGAGATTGTTTCATATCCATGTTTTCATTTTCATGTTACATCTCTAATAATTTTGGATTTGGCTCAGAATAATAATCTTGAGGTGAAGAAACTGTGTTTCATTACATCTCCCACGTTTCTGGTTGCAATTGCAGGTTGTAACAAACAGGGATATTCTTGTCGAACTACTATCAAAGCACACTGGGAATGTGAGTGGAAAATATTTTCTTTCGCTTCACTCTTAGCTTTGAATGGGGAAATTTTTATGGCTAATTGAAAATCATTCCAATGTGTTATGTAGTCCGTGGAGACTGTAGCTAACGTGATGAGAAGGCCATATTACATGGATGCACCAAAAGCTAAAGAATTTGGAGTCATTGACAGGGTAAGTTCAGGCATTGTAAATTGCTGTGTTGATTTTCATATGCACGTAGTAAGAGATCGAGATAATTCGTCGTCATTAAGTAAAGTAATCCCCAGTTCAAGTTTCCCTCTTCGGTGTCAGCAGATGGCAATTAAACTACCAATTTTTTATTACTCTACCATACATGAGCCTCACTTAGAAAGCCTACCTATGCCTGTTTATGATGTTTGTCTTGGCTTAATGATGAATATGTCTTCAGAATCCTCCATGTTACATCCAATACCACAAGTTTATGCTGTTGAAACATATTCCTCCAGTTTTGAGATTGCTTCATTTAGGATTTTAGAGTTCATCAAAGATATTTGAGATTTGTTTGCTGATTTAAAATTTTCCCAAGTTTCCAGTGGGATGTCTATTGGTTCTTGATTAGAAAGTTGGTATATATGTTAGGAAAGAATAATATCATCACGGATTTTTCTTTCATAACTTGGTCTCTGCTGGACTGACGCAGACCTTTGTGACCATTTTCACCAGATTCTTTGGCGTGGTCAAGAAAAGATTATTGCAGATGTTGTCCCTTCAGAGGAATTTGACAATAATGCAGGGATTAGAAGTGTAGAACAAGTCTAGTCTCAAGTGCTCTTGCCTCACATCACTGTAAGTGTCACGCTTAACTCTGCGTGTATATTTCAAGAAGATGGAAATATTCATTGGTTGGTCAATGGCCATGAATTGCTAACAAAATACAACCTGGTTATACTTGTCATCTAGCAAATCTTAATATCGGAACATTCTAAAATCTTAAGGATAAGAAACAAGGCAGATACATAATGATATTGTTTGCTTCAATTCCTCTTTTGCAGGCTTCAATGGAGAACAACAAATAGAATTACAGACTGATTAGTTTCTCTTGGCTGCTACTGCCTTGTTTTGAACCACTTGGTTTATGTCAATCATGTGATTAAGAGAATCATATTAAGGGTCTTGATAAAATTTGTAATTTCTTTGTACTTTAGGTCTCTCAAGAAGCCCAAGTAAATTACAATGTAGAATTATTTTCTCCTCCTATTTCAATATTGTAACAATTTCATACTACTATTGTTTTTTTTTTTGTCAGATTTTTAAGGTTTACATTCTCAATTTGACCGGATATATAGCAATCAGATTCATTTTAAACTTAATTTGAATACTAAATAAGAAAGTTGCTTGAGCTTGAGCTTGCAACTAAAATAGGGATGTAAAAACACAGCTGACATTACGACGGTCTCGCGGTAGACATAGATTAGTTAAAAATTACAGTAACTTTGATTTTGGGTTAAGGATCAAAAAATGAAATAAAAGCTCCGATGCCGGGAATCGAACCCGGGTCTCCTGGGTGAAAGCCAGATATCCTAACCGCTGGACGACAACGGATTTGTTGAACAGAAGAGATATATTTTAATATTTAATGAATACTAACTTACGTAGCGGATTCCAAATTTTTTTATTGATTCGTACGGCTCTTAACAGATTTTGAGAATTGAGATGCGTTTCAATTCCGACTCCCGCCTTATAAAAGGTCACACAATGGAGCGATGATTTTGTTTATCACTTTCGAATTTCGAAACAA